ACCTCGAGGTCAGCTTTCTCCCCGAGGTACTTGCAGCGGTTACTGGGACACTGAGAGGCAGAGTCTCTGGAGACGGGACTGAGAGCAGCCATAACTGCTTGCTCCGCCCGCCCTGTAGATCCCCTGGGACCCGCCCCGCCCAAGCCCTGCAAAGAGGCACTTGCAGGATAGCTTCAGGCAAAGGCTAGATTAGCACCTCCCCAGAGGACAGAAGTTTTCCCACTGCAGACACAGCTGATTCTCACAGCCAACTGGCCTGGAGGTCAAATCCCCCCAGTATCAACGACAACAATCAAGGCTTAACTACAACAAGACTGCACACAAAGACCACTAGGGGGTGCACCTAGAAAACTCCTGTCCCAGGCGCCTGCTGCCCGCCGCCCGCAGCACGCGCGGACCCTGGGGGAGGTGGTGCATTACCCACAGGAGAGGGACTGCAGGTAAACCAGGTGGGCCGCCTCTCGAGCGGTGACTACGTTGGAGACATCTGTGTGTTCCAGTTCCCCACATTAACCTAGCAGACCCCACATTTTCCCAAGAAACCTGTTAAAATGAGGTTTGCAGTCCATTTGGGGCCTTTATCAGACATTGATTGGTTTGGGTTCGCTGTCTTCGTATTCGTGACGCGAATAAGTGTCATTGCACATAAGAGACTGCAGTTTCTACACTGTATATTCCTGGGTCCCTAGCACAGAGTAGGTCTCCAACTTTTGATCCTATGGGGGCGGAGGCACATAGCTGAACGCAGAGGGTTACTTGGCAGCGTTTTCACGTTGTAACAAAGTATCCCTACCAACATAGGCAACTCCTGCCTTAAAAACAGACAAAACACTAATAGGTCATGTGGCAAGTTAGATGAGACCCGGAAAATAAACACTAACCTGTCTTTTCCAACTGTAAATGGAACGATTTGAAAAGTGAAATGTTAGTATATATTAGAATAGACAAGAGAGCATCACAGAGGAGGTGGGCTTTGAGACTTTACCACCAAAGGATGAACAAAGGCCACGAACAATGAAAACAGTGGAAATGGCACAGACCAACCAGAGGGAGCAGGTTGGGGCACAGGTGAACCTAAGGTGGAATGAAGGCTGGACAGACATGTGTAAATGCAGTGGCTGCAGAAGCCGCCGAGGCCCCAGGCAGAGCGTGCCATCTGTCTGGCAGTGGTGCTGAGACAGAGGAGATGGGGAGGGGCCACCAGAGAGGAGTCAGCTGGACATGCCTTTTAACACACTTCAGAGGATTTTAACGGAAAAGGTGAATTTATTTATGGATCTTTATATTTTTATTGATTTCAGAGAGGAAGGGAGAGGGAGAGATGGAAACATCAATGATGGGAATCATTGGTCGGCTGCCTCCTGCACGCCCCACACTGGAGATGGAGCCTGCAACCCGGGCACGTGCCCTGACCGGGAATCGAACCGTGACCTCCTGGTTGATAGGTCGGGCCTGAAAAGGTAAATGTAGACTGGTGTCTTTACCATTCAAATAACTGCACTAGGGCAAAGGATACAGTGAGTGGCGCCTGAGAACACAGTCGAAAGTGTTCTGGAAACCGTGGATCTACTATGGAATTTTTCCCATCGTGGACATATTTGAAAGCATGTAACATTCAGTGTGCAAAACGTCCCATTTGGATCTAAGGAAGTACTTGAAATTATTTCACATGGTTTGAAACATGCCCATCCAACTTGGATTGCAGTATCAGGTAAAGTTAAAGCAACACACACACACACACGCATAATATGGGGAAATTTTCTTCATTTTTAATTTACAGCAGAAAGAATATAAAGCATTCAGAAAACATTTTCCATATTTTTAAGGGCAATTCAAAACATTTTGCATGGTTTCCAGCAGCTGAGTTCTTCAACAGATCCATTGATTCAATGATGCTTTACATGCACAATTACAAAAATAAAACTTACAAAAAAGAAGACATCTAGACTAGTTTTACATGCAAGTCTCAGGGACCCCCCATTGGGCGCCAACTACTGTGTGGAACTGCCATAAGCGACCGTGCAGCCAGAAAGGGGTTCGAGTTAGTGTCTTTATTTCGTTCACACAGTACAGCCGACTTCAGATGGGTAACAAGAATAGCAATGAAATCTTCAGGAGACAGAATAAGATTAGCTATTAACTTTTATAATGAAATCTACTCCTGGCACTTGGGAATTCAGATTATCCAAGAAAGCTGCGCGTATCTATCATCTTATATTCAAAATTAAGATTCGTAACCGAGGAAAAGCAGTCGGAAGTGCTTCGTATCGGTGGGAGCGTACCGGTACCTCCCCTAGGATTCACAGTTGTACTGCTACTTCCTGTCCCCTCCGCGAGAACCCTCCTAATTCTACATCAGTCTTTCTCTTCCCGAATTGTCTAACTCACTCGGCGAATAATGTAGCATGTGGAACATGAACAAAGTAAGTGTGAGGGTTAAAGCAAACCCACTGAGGTCATTACTCTTGTCAAAAGATCAGTTATTTGTATCGGAATAAATGGAATAAACATCTAAATTCGGCATTAAGACAGGATATTCTGAGAGAGCTGGCTTTCACGTTCTATTCCCACTTAGGAATGCAATTGTGTGTGTGTGTGTGTGTGTGTGTGTGTGTAAATGACTGTGTCCTCCTGTAGGTTAAACTGTAAAA